TGTTTTTAATGGAGTGCATTGAAAATTTTTTTACAGATAGCTTCTTACATTTTTGATGTTGCCTGCATTCTTCATGGTATTCCAGCAAAATCAGAGGTTTCTGTCAGAGCTGAACGTTATCCTTTGGTTTACAAATTTTTTTCGTCATTGATTTCTGAAGATTTTGATGTCGTTGATAAGTACTTGGACATTGTTCTTCATGCGGCTACTGTGCGTCCGAGTGAGTTCTTCAAGGTGCATAATGTCTTGCCAAGATAAAGCCAGTTATTTCTTTTTTGTTTCTAAATGAGTTATTAAGACTTTTAGCTGCCGAACTATTAGATCTATCTGCTTTGTTGCTGTACAGTACGGGCAGTTCTCTGAATTCTAAATTCAGGCACGAGGTGAGCAAATTACATGTGTTTTAACAAAAAACTATTTAAGGTTTTTTTCCTCAGAAAGTAATACGGTCTTTATCAATTCTTCTATCGTTCCTACTCTTTCGCAGCAAAAATGATGGGTGAGGTTTGAAAAAAGTGGTCTGTTACATCTCTCGACGAATAGTAAAAAGAATTTTCATAATGCATAACTGCATTTTTTTAAGTTTGTAAAGAAACTGTCGAATATTTTGATGTCATCTTCTCACCAAATGTTGTGTTCTAACTGCGCGCGACTTAATGTGTTATGTCAAAGTCTGGAGACTAGAAAGGCTACTTTAGAGTCATGTTTTTTAAAATTGAAAGAAGAAGAACAGGTAATGCGGCTTTATTTGTTGGTTTGCTGCTTACAATACTTAAGTGTTTCTTTTTTATATATGCCTTTTGGTATTCAGCATTGGAAACCAAGTGATTTCTGGATCGCTTCCTTTTTGATTTCTGAAGGGGCTGATCTCTCTGCCAGTACAGTGAACGCTGTTGAGGATGTTCTTGTTAAATGTATCAGAAAGTTGTTTGACCGTCCCAATAGCTTATTGGAACCTGCATGTTGTTCTGCGGTAGAGTTGTACAGAGGGTGCTTGGAAAAAATGAATTCCAAAGAGCAGGTTTGTCATTGTGTTTAACTAGGATTGATTAACGGTATAAAGTTCCTGTACTGTATAGGAACGGGATTTTTGAATTAAGGCAGAATTGTTTAAACTACGGTTGGAAGGGCTGGATGATGTCCTCGAGTTGTTTGGTAAGATATCGCTCACACGTAAAGAACTGGTTGGTTTCAAAGTGAAAGAGGCGATTGTGAAGTGTCTTGGATTTATATCAGCCTCTGTCATGGGGAAGAACGTTTGCGACAAAGTTTTAAGCCGTCTTTTTGCGGTGGGAGAAGTATGTTTTTTTTTGAAAATAGAATTTTCTCTTGGTGTAAATAGTCGCTTACTTATGCAAAAAAAAGTAATTTTTGCTCAGGGTGTTCCTTTACCAGAACTGCAATTTACTGTTGGTTCGTCACTGTTCGATGCTGTGATGGGAGAGCATTCCCCATCACGTCGTAACTTTGTTACAGAGACGGAAGAAGATTATTTGGTAACTTTTTGTCACTTAGTTTCTCACAAAAGCTCCTACTCCAACTTCTTTGCCTGGTGCATTTTATTTCATTAATGATATGTTTTTTATCTACAAATATCATAAAAGCAGTTTAGAGTCATATTCCACAAGAAAAATTAACGACTTGCGGGAGGAGAATTTTGGAGATGTTTGACACTATTAGCTTAAAATCAAAACACATTAACCGGCATCTTCGTCAGGCAGCGTTTATATGGTTATTTGTTTTCTTGGAGAGGTGCTCCAAGTGTCATTTCAACTGCATTACTGAACAGCTTTGCAATATTCAAGACACATTTGTCAATGGTCTGGCTGAAAGCGACGGTTAGTTTTTTAAAGAAAATACCGTATTTTTTGATGTTATTTCTGTGCTACTCTAGTGTTTTTTTTAGATTTTACCCAGGAAATTGCTAGCCAGGGGATTGGAATAGTTTTTACTCTAGGAAGTGAAGAACAAAAGAAAGTAATGGTTGGAGAGTTGGTCGATTTCCTCACATCAGGACGGAAATCCACTGTCCCTATAACTGGTGAAACTCAACTTTTTGCAAAAGGAGAATTGGGATCTGGTCCGTCTGGGTGAGTTAACTGAAATTTTCAAGAGAAAAATTTTACTATTTATTTCGTTAAATTATTTTTAGCGAGTCATTGACTACGTACAAAGAGTTATGCGCTCTAGCCACGGATCTGAATCAGCCAGATTTAATTTATAAATTTATGCAGCTTGCTAACCATAAAGCAATTTTTAACACTAAGAAGGTATCATCCTTTATGTGTTCAAAATCAGCTTTTTATACCTTGAAATGAACTAAAAAATAAAGAAATGTGATGAAGAGACTAACACGATGTTCGCGCTTCTGTTTAATAAAAAGAATGTGTTTAATGATTAGCTTTTAAATTTTTCTTTTCAAAGAGTGCTTTACTGTTACTACAAACCTCACATTTTTGGAAACTGCATATTTATGGAGCTCGAAACCTTGTTTTAATTTAGTAGTGTACCTGATTTACTCAGACCAATGATCTTCTTGACGTTTAGCTTGATATAGGACTGAAGTTTTTTTTTAAGGGTGCTGCTTACGGGTTTAGTGTAGTAATGCAACAGGCGCAAAGTGAACTTGAACCGTATTTACCGCAGATAGTGCCTAAACTTTATAGATATCGATATGATCCTGACTTACAAGTAATGGCTGTAATGCGCAACCTTTGGCAAGTGGTTACATCTTCCCAAAAAAATGTCGTAAGTTTACAGTTTATAACTTTCTAATAGTAGTTTACTGGTCTTCACCTATATTATATTTTGATCCTTGGAACTTAATTTTTTTACTTCAAACCTTTAGCTTGTAATTGACTGTGGTTTTTCTCGTGCATTAGTACTTTAGCCTTTTGAAGCAGATCTTTTTACTTGTTCTGAAATATAGTCATGTAAATTTATGCACTCAAATGGTAAAAAATGTATATTTCTTAGGTGTTTTCGGTTATACGTGAATCCTACCACAAAGTTTCTTGTGAGGATCGGTTTTTTGATTTCGTCAATGTGAAATAACAATTTTTGGTTGCTGTAGGAGGAAGTTTTTAATGATCGGTTTAATCCATACTTTAGGTCGAAAAATTTGGATGTCTGATATATAATGAGCTGTTATCGAGTTTAACTAATTCCTTCTGGCGAGTACGAGAATCAAGGTATGTCATCAATTTTTTCTGTTATTTATACCTTAAGTCATGTCATCGCCAAAACGTTCGACTTTTAAATGTCTGCAAATCTAGCACGTTTGGAACCTTATAGGCTTCTTTTTTATTACATCACTTTTTCCTCCAGTTCAAACTTCTTTTTTTTGAGTTCATAAGAAGTTCTGACTATGCCTGTTTGATCTTAGCTTTTTGCAGCTGTTTGGCACTCGCAGATTTACTTACTAGCACCTTCGACAAAACGTTTCTTGAAAATGCAGGTGTTTTGTATGGACTACTTTTTCGCGTTAACGACGATATAAAAGTATTAATTCAGCTGTTTTTCAATCCTATTCGAGAAATTACATAAAATTTTCTTGGAGATGTGGATTTACTTTGAAAAGTTTAGACCGGAAGTGATGCCAGGTTTTTCTCATATTTTTTTTACAAAATTATGAATTGCATTTTTTTTTATCAAGGAATCAGTGCGTTTGTCTGCCACGAAAGCCCTGAAGTCTTTCGCCGCTTTTACGATACGCCACAGTTTGAGCGAAAAGGGCGATAGTGCAACTCACTTTATTGGTGTTATACTTCCAGTTCTGATTGAAAAAGGCATGGGCTCTTCTCTAAAAGAGAATCGAGTATTCAGGTTTGAAAATTACAGCAGTTACTGTTACTTGATATATTAGAGTTTTTGAAGACAATTATGGTTTTGCCTAGCTTTATTAAGCTATAGCTGTGCTGATATTTTGGCGCGCCTATGTGCTTGATACTGAAGTGTAGAAAGAAGATAAAAATCTATTGAGAGAAATATTTGGTCAATAAGATGGGTATTGTAATTTGTATTTTTTTTGCTTCTATTCTTATTAAAGTAGCTAGTCATCCAAAAAGACTGTCAAATTTGCTATACGATTTTTAACAATTTTCTGTTTACTCCAGTCATATTTAACTGAAAAACTTATTTGCTATGTACGCTTTATGCAAAGCTTTTTTGCTTAACTATGTGTCCACGATACGAATCTGGAAGACTGAAGTTTAAGCAGTGGGTAATTTTCTTCTGTAGCTTTTTGAGGCGTAGTAATAATTTTCCATAGAACTAGGGTGTTTTTTTTGAAAGTATGGTATCAAGTCTCTGGAGCATAACGCTGGGCGTTACACTTTTTCACCACTTTCTTTGAAATATTTTATAATTAAATTTTTCCTGTTCTGTTGACGAAGGTTTTTGAGCTAGTGAAATCAGAGAGGCAATACATAATCAAGGTTTTTTGATAGGTTTACTGAACTGGGGTCAACATTTAGAGGAAGTAACTTTGAGTTTTCATTTTACTGGGGTGATGAATCTTTGCTTGCTAGTAAAGTTAACCAAAAGGACTACCTCTCACCTCCTTTCGTTTCTTTCATCCGTTTCATACGCTTCGAATGTTCTTATCCCACACCATGACCAATCTACACTTTTGTATTAGGGATTAAAATTACACAAACAGTGTTATATCAGTACCTGAATTCTCATTCACCGAAACGAATGCTCTGCAAAAGGGTTCCCCAATTTTTTCCTCTAAGTACTTCCATCAACAGCTTCACTAATTCTTCTCTAAAATTCTTGATGACATTACTCTTTCCATCTGTTCTCCACACTGCAATTTTCCTTCTAAGACACTTTATCACACTCACTGACAAAAGCTCGTCTGAAAAATATCGAAAAGAAAATTGCTTTTTGGTCTACCAGCTTATCTGTTTTCAAGTCCAGTGCTCTAAAATTGGAATTAATTTATGATTTGCTCTAACTATTTTGGTAGACCAGAGTTGCCTTTCAGAAGTAAAATTGTATTTTCTAAAATAATTCGTCTATACCAATTTTAATTAGATTTTTTGACTTTGTTCTTTAGGTAATTATTTGTGAATACCAGTATCACGTATTTGTTATTTGGAACTGTTTTATGCTTCTTACATTGTAGCTGACTGCAGTACTGTTGTATTAGTGTACGTTTTGCTTTTGACTTTCAAATTTTCATTGGCCAATAATCTTACCAATTTTGCCGAGTACTGTTTTAACAGACTACGTTTTTTTCTACTCTAAAGTACTGCTTTATGCTACAGAGAAGCGTTTTTAGAAAAATACAGCAAATTCTTTATTTACTTGATTGATTATTTGACGTTTACTGATTGGCTGCATGTTTACTTAATCTTTTGATAAAAGGATTTCTTTCTTCAGTATTCCCGCGCTATTTTTGAAACTTTTATTTCTCTAATCTCGCAAACGCTTACAATTATGCACCAGAACTGCTATTACTGTTTATGCATTTTTCACTCAGAATTTGTTGTCATTTGATCAAAATCAATTTTTGCAAGAAGAAGATAAATTTTTGACACCAAAAGTGTATAAGATTTTTGCAGCTGTTATTGACGGTAATGCTGAATATTTTCTCTTCTGAACTTCCACCATTATTAGTTTGAAACATTGAGAATTTCTTATCCAATAAATTGCAGTTTAAAACTTGTTATGGATCTCTCAAAGAAATCAGGCGTAGCATTGCAACCTCACCTTTCAATCGTGATACCCCGGCTTTTGGAGTCTTTAAGTGAAGTGGAACCTAGTTGGTTGAACTATCTTGCTGCGAGGTCTAGTGCAGATGAATTAGAGCTGGTACATGGTTGAATTATCTTTAGTTTAAGCTGGTATAAGTAGTTGAATTTGGTAAAGCTATTGTATGAATTGTTTACTCTAATAGTTTATATATTTGAGGTGAACCTATGTATTTTGACGAAAAAGCGATGGTAAAGTACAGTACGCCAAAAACTTAAATAATTCTTTTCGCTTTACTTTTGTACTTTTAAGTTAGATACTGCCCGAGCTTCTTGCGCTAGAAGCTCTCCAATGGTTGATACTCTTCATGATTTAATTCCTCTAATTAACGAATCTGTGTTGGAAGCTCTTTGCCCGTCATTGATAGACTTATTAAGAAATTCTGTTGGCGTCAGTACCCGGTTGGGGACTAGTCAGTTCTTAATCGACTTATGCCTTCGACGAAAACAAGTGCTTGCTTCAGCTCGGAATATCTGTGGTCAGTTTCATTACTGGACATTTTTTTTAAATTCATCTTCTCGCTCTTAAAAGCAGCGTAGTGAATATTCAGGTTTGTTTAGATAGATTCACTAACACCCTTTCAACTGGCCTTCGGGATCGAAATCCTGCTGTAAGAAAGCAGTTTGCCGTTGCACTCTCTTATATAATAAAATACTCGTCTCAAAAGCAGATTGATCGAATTTTATCATTTATTGTGGAGAGGCTACAGGGCGAGGAAGGTAGGTTCATTTTTTTTTGCTTTTAAAAAGAAGCGGTGCAGTTTGTTATGAAGTGGACATTAGTTTAAGAGTGGTTTTTGTTTTTTTAGAGAACGATGAGAAAACTTCGTACAGTTTGTTACGCGCTTTTGCTGATAACAACAGTGAAGTTTTGACTCAGTCAAATTCTGTTATTCTTCCCTATATATTTATGACTTGTTCCAAAGAAGGTATGTTTTATGTTATAAAAAGTTTTTTTGCAAACTACATGCTTTTTAAGGAAGCTTTTTTTAAAATATGTAGAGCATGCACAGGATAAGTAAAAATTTCTCTTCTTACTCCTAGAGTTATGTGTATTGGAACTTTCAGTTGAAAGAGAGGATGAAGAAGGTAAGAAGCAACTCGCCCTTTGGGAGGAATTATGGAACGACCTGGTTCCCGGTCAGTTGAATATAACTAAACTTGTAATTTGTCAGATCTTAATTTTATTTTTTTTAAAAAGTCGTACTAACTTTTTGTTTTTAAAGATGTATTTTTTAGGTACTCACTCTGCTGTTCGCTTGTACAAGAAGGAATTATTAGAAGTGGTTTTTAAAACAATGCGAGAAAATCCTGTATGGGCACGAAAAGCTCAGGCGGCTGCAATGCTTTCTCGTATTATAGAATCACAGTGCACCGATTATTCTCCCGCAGAAGCAGGTTAAAATGCTTTTTTTTAATTACGCTTATTATATTTTTCAAATTTTAGACGAAAGTTTTACAATGCTCACTTCACTGTTGAAAGGAAAAACATGGACAGGAAAAGAAAAAATCCTAGCTGCTATGACATCTCTTTTAAAAGTAGCCGGACCAGCTCTCTCCTCACAATGGAGCTCATATGAAACATTTTGTGAAGTAAGTAGAGCAAAGAATTTAAAGTTACTTTGAAGTGGTGGTTTTTTTTTTTGAATTCAATAAAGTTATGCAGTTTAATTGCAGAAGTATGACATAATATGGAAAGAAACATCAAAAAAAAAGTATTCACATAGTGCAGAGGCAATTATGTGTGCAGCAATATTTTGCGAAAACATCAAGCTTCCAGAAAAAAGTTTACAACTGGTGTCATTGGTAAAAAGGAGGGGTTTATTAGAGAAGCTTTCCAGGTATACAAAATCATTTTTTTTCTTGGCTTCATGAATACAAACGATTTTCTATTGGAAAAAGTGTTCCAATGGAAGCTTTAAAGTTTTTAAGCTACAAATGTTTATTTGTAAACCAAAATTCTAGAAGCAGAAAAACCGGTTTATTTCTAGTTCAATCAAAGCAAAAACCCTTTATACAAAAAGTATTCACATTTTTAGTTCTGATTCTTCTGGTGAAGATGGTGATGATAAGAGTGCTAAAGAAGCTCTTCGCCAGAAATCATTGGTTCGCGTGTTTTCGGCTCTACCTCACTGTCTACTGGCCTTCGACAACGGTTGACTTAGAATCATTTATAATTCTCATTCTCTCATATATTTATATTATTTTATAATTATAGCTGAACAAATGTATGAATGTCTGACTGTCATTTTGGAAGTACTAGAAGCGAAAAATCTCTTCTGGAAATTGAAAATTGGCTTGGTTGAGGAACTTTTGGTAGTCATCGAGAGGTTGCCTTTTTTTTTCTTCTCTAGACTGCAAAAGAAGTTTAGGCGAGGAGCGATTGTGCAAACAGTTAGACCAGCAAAACTAATTGTGACCACTCATAATCTGCAAAAATTTGTCTCTGTTATGCAAAATCTCTTTGAGCTCTTTTTTTTATTTTTAAATTTCGTTGGTAAACAGCGTCATGAATGAGGAATAATTTTAAAACATTTCCTTAACCAAAACCTCATGGTTTAGGTTTTTTAAGAGTTGGTTCTACAGCCTCAGTTGCAGGTGGCCAAATTCTTTGAAAAGTGACTTGTCTCGGCTACTCTGTTGCATGATAACGACAACGAAGGACACATGGGATTCTCAGAATAGTTTTGCAAGGAAATGCCTAGAAGTGATTGAAATGATGTTGAATAAATCCGTTGCAGGAGACATTTTGCTTGCAGAGGACTCTGCAATGAAAGCGCTATCAGCTTTTCAGAAATCTGAAGCTGTAAAGTCGAGTTGGACTACAACCAAAGCAGTTGAAAAGTTCTTAGAGCGTTTTAACGAAGGGAAAGAAAAAAAGTCTGTTGTCAAGGAGATTTTACTTCAATAGTTTTATTGAGAACCACCGATTCTCAAAAATTTAATTTTTTTCTTCAAGCTTAATAAAATGTGACGGTGTGTAGATTCCAGTGATGTGATGCTCAGCTATACTCGTAACTGTAACATAGACTTGTGCCTGTAGTTGACAGTTGTTACTGATTAATGTTATTTATTATATTTAAGGAGCAAAAATTATTTTATTATTCTTTACTGTGTTCACTGGTATAAAAAGCATCTGAATTTTGGTCCCCACTTCTTTCGGCGCAAACACCTTCACTCCACCACTGCAAAAAAAACAGTTATGAAAGCTTAGTTTTGTATGCCTAAGAGTTTGCTTTTTAATTAGGGCTTTTTCATGATAACTTACGTGATAGTGAGCTAGTCCTGAAAGGTATTTGGTCAGTTTTAGAAATCGTATACTGTTGCGACATGCTTATATGTCTCTTTCCTTCGGATATAGGGAGAGTGGACATTGAGTGGTGGTGTCGAAGGGTCATTCCGTGCGTTATCCAGCATCCAGGGTCCTAAATCTTTATTCTCTAGTTTCTTACACCTGTATATTGTGGGGTAGTATCCATGAGCATTGGCATGGGTTTTGGTAATAAAAAATTTGTAGCGTTGTAAATTGAGTCAAATTGAGGAGGCCTTGCCGTTTAGTTCTGTAACAGAAACAGCAGATTTTTGAACGCCGCAACAGTTTAGTTCAATGGTCGTTGATGTTGATAACTGTGGGTAAGAGAATTAACAAAAATTCAACCTATTGAAACCTCAAAAAATACTTTACTGACTTGTATTACTTGGTTGTCGGCGTCTACGAAACAGTCTGGTCCCTTCTCTATGCTAGGAGTCTTTATGAGGGTCATATCCGACTTCATAAATGCTGATCGACAGTACGAAATAACTACGGTAAGCAATGAAAAAATCAGCAGTGCTGCAATTTGAAAATGCGTGTACAATTGCCGAAATACAAATACTTAACAGGGATTTCAACACCGAAGATACTGTGGAATATAAAGTCCCCTGATTTTGAAAAGCAAGGGCTGCTTAAGCAAAAATTATGATGGTAGGTCAGAAGTGTAGGTTTTGCATTTTTTTAGTCATAACCTTCAACTTCTCTGTTCGGAATTCCCAAAAAGCTGAACTTACCACTAGAAAAAACTTTATCTCGAATTGAGTATCTGAGAAGCGGTAAAACTAAATATAACGAAATTCCAAATAACGCAGCTATTATTGAAACGAGAATGTTCTGCCTGCTGTCCATATTTTTGGCAGTAATCAGTGAAGTTACAACCGTTGTAACAACCATCATTGCAACAAGTATCAACGAGTAGAACAACCTCTGTTCGTACTGTAAATTCGAAATAATTTCAATGTTACAGTCATTCACCATCACCTAACTGAACTACATTTGCAAAATACTTACTTTTTGACCGGGCGCACATCTCCACATCGACTCTTCCGCAAATGTTGAAAAAGTTAGACTTATTGGCGATTCAAAAAACATCCATTCGGCAACAACTACAACTTGGAAGAAAATACCAATTGCTGACAACCAAAACATTGTCGAACTGTGTGCATTACCACTTCGTGCGCTTTGAAGATTTGACAGTATCATTTCACGTCGCCATGAAAGAACTGACTGCAAATTATAAGAGTATTTAGACAACAATTTAAAAATCTTGCCCTCTTTTATTAAAAAAGGTAATTTAAATCTAGTTAAGGCAAGAAATAGGTGAGAAATTCTATAAATTTTGTCGACTAGAAATTCTTCAATGCACTAATTTTTTCTGCAATAAAGTGATCAAAATTGCTGATAAAAAATATGAAGTGACAATGTTTTACACTTTTACCTTAACCAATATTGGAGAAAAAACGGATGAAAGGGCAATAGACAGACAGGTAGAACGCACCGCACATGTAATGGAGGAAGGAACCATTATAAAGAAGACTGATATGAACGATAGGAAGGCAAGTCCTAAAATGGCGCTTAATCGTTTAATAAGTTGAATTTAATCTGTGAAATTAATAAGCTTTGAAAACAGCCGTACCAACAAACATGACCATTGTGCAAACTCGGTATAAATCTTCTGTTCGAGAGATCAGCTGTTGATAAACGCACATCAGACAGATAAACATCCACAGTATCGAAAATCCAGCAAATATCATTGTACTCAAATCATTAAGCCCAGATCGAAATGATGGAATACTACTAGCCTGTTTTTGATATGCGAAACGTAAAGCACAAGCAGATCTAAAATCTTTTTGTAATGCTGATATTGTTTTTCTGAGAGTTGTCAAGAAAGTCGATTGATCAGATTGATTACCGATACCTTGGACAAGATGAATGCACACGTTGACGACTGCCGTCTCTCTCCTCCAAAAACAGATCGTTAGGAGCTACATAACGCAACCCTCGGTGTATGTCCCAGTTTGCTACTTCTTCAAACTGGATTTCTTGAGAGCTGATTCTAACGCGATTAATTATTACTTCTGCATCTCTAAAATATTCGAAAGATTTGAATGACAAATTCCATGTTTTAGTTTTCAGAAATGATCAAAACATCAATCAAAGTGGATAATCAAGAAAATACAAAGAAGCAATCTAACAAAATCAAAAGTAGTGCGTCAAAATAATCATTTCACTTGTCTTTAGATATTAAATTGAAAATACTTGCATTAAAGACTAATGAGTAGACAGATACGAAATAATAAAATTACGAAGGTGGAAAACAGAAAAACAGCTTGATGATGCACCAGGCAGTACCTAAATCCAGTAGTTGAGTTTATGTAAACATCAGGCTCTGTACTAATGAAGTGATTAAAGCCAGAAGACTTTATCGAACGGAAGAGTGCTGGGAAAGGGTCATTCACACAGTCCGAAAGTGTTTTAAGAAGCGCCCCTGCAAACCGTATTCTATGCTGTTAGCAGAAAAGTAAGCGTAAGGGGAAAAAACTAACCTGGACACACTCTATCAACTAGCTGTCGAAGAGAAACGGCCATAGAGTGAACTGCTAACGTAATTGGCTCAAGATTCAAATCTGGAACTACAGACGTTAAGCTTAATGTCTGGCGATTACTACATGGCCTGAAAATAGAAAAAAAGAAAGTGTTAGCTACTTCTTATCTGTGTATATAGTGTATAAGACAGTCTAAGACAATTTTTATAAGTCTTCCAATACCTTTTGCTTTTAAAAAACTTATTTTGAGAAATTAAAAAAGCAAACCGATTTTAGAAAAAGAAATAAAAATGAATATATCTGAAGAACCTTGAGAACTTTTTGCCTGGAAGATTTTCTCCTTCAATGTGGCATTTGAACGCCGTCATCCAAAACTGTCTTAACCAGTGCTGAAAAAGCTATTCTGGTACAAAGAAGTCTTAACATTTGCAGTTAACAGAACTTTTTTCACAGATACTTAGACAATTAGAACTTTCTTAAACATCCTGTTTTTTTCTTTCTTTCGTAAACTTTTGTTTTCTAAGTCCATACTTGAGGAAACGGTAAGCTCGGAAACCGTTGCGTTAAATGATTGACAAAATTTTGGTTAGTCAGACGCTTGTTTGTAACAGTAAGTAAAAGTTGATCGAAATGTGGCCAAGCATCTGCAAATTTTAAAGAAGTTGTCCACCTCTCAGACTGAGGAACCACAAAAACAAAACGACCAGCAATAACCTAAAAAACTATTTTCTCGTTAGCCTGGAATAAGAAATGTTAGTAAAACGAACCAATAATATACTTTTAACAATTTACAATTAGTAACTAACAAAAAGAAAAAATGTCGCAAACAACAAATTACGGCTGAATTTTTAAAAATCTGTGGAATTTAAGCATTAACTATATAAGAAATTAAACTTTTTTTTAGTCTAAATAAGCTGTAAAAAGATTGCTGATAAACATTTAAAAACGACGAAATAAAGTTGTTCAAAAGGTGCTTCAGACTAAACTCGCTCGTTTATCTTCCGCACTATGTGCTAATAATCTAATGCTTACTTTTTTCACTGTAATAAAATTAGCCGTATCAAAATTGAGAAAAGTAAGTATCAAACTATCTTGACAGCTCGAGTTTTAGACAAACTCAATTAGTGCAGATTTAAATTAAAAAAATTAATTTTATTTTAGTTTAATTAAACTAATTAATTTATAGAACTATTTTAGCTATTTAAAGTAATGTATTATTGGGTAGGCATAATTAGTCAAAAAAGAGAAGACAAACCATTTCATTTCTGAGCGCTTGTAGTATGTCCAACCATGTTCCATCATTCACGAAAGCCAAAACAAAACGGGCCTGTGTCAGAAGCAGTTTACGAATAGCTGTTTGAGCGACATCAACTGACGACTGGCCGGTAATATGGACCTGACCGTCAACACAGATAAATTTTCGCTCCGCATGAATGACCAACATTTTTGCTGTACTGCAACTTGGTTTTTTATAAATTTAAGTGTTTAACAATAAAGAGAAAAGAAAAAAAAACAAATTTTATTGATAGAAGAAACTTGAAAACCTTACAAGTGCCAAAAATAGCTGCTAAAACTAACCTTGCATGACTGTCATCAAAAACAGCACTAACACAGGTACTGTGAGTATATCTAATTAACGATAAAATTGCTTCAACTAACATTTCTTCAGTTGGTAACATACCAGTGGTCATAGGCTAAAAAGCATTTACTGATAAACTTTTTTATTTAAGCTGATAATTTTATTAAGACATCAGTCTACGTAAGCTTCCAAAAATTATTACAGAAAAAATTTTACAGAAGTTCAAAAGTCAAAAAAGGTTACTCGTTCTTCGGGGCTGAAGAAGGTATTGATAGTTGGAATACGTAGATATCGAGAAAAATCGTCAACATTTGGCAAATAAGTAGAATCATCGCGTATCAATCCAATTAGTTCTGATCTATAAGTAACACTAATAAGTTTCGTGTTTTTTTGCTCGTCAACAGTCAAAAATTTAGTGAGCAACCAAAAAAAAATTTACACAGAGAAAATGCTATTAGTCATTACAAATACTGTTGATGTTACAGAGCTAGACAGTTTTTAAACATGTTAACCAATAGAAGTAAAAGCTATCGAAACAGTCTAGAACAAAAAAGCTAAGAAAAAAAATGAAGTAATATAGAACTGTCTTTCAAGACAGCTGAAAAATACGTAAATGTCTACAGAACTGTCCTGAACAAAGCATTTGGTTATTGGTCATCTTTTAAAAAAACAATCTTTTTTCTGCAAAAATAAATTAAGACTTTTTCTATAGTTTACTAAAACCAGATATTGAGCGGGCTAGAAGTTTTATTAGAAATTTTTCTTTGATATTCTTGTATTTTCTGATGCTTTATCAATATTTTACAAAAAAGTGTACAAAAAACTTGTAAAATTATGAAGTAGTGACAAAAAAAAAAAAAAAGCAATAAAACAAGAAGCAGTCACTAACTTTTCAATATTTGTACCAAAGAAGAGTTCATACAGATCAGCAACAGTACGGAGGTCGCTTGAGCAACTGTCGACAACAATGGCTCCAATAGAAAGACCAACGTCCTGCAGAACCTTACCTTTGTTCACCCTTTCAAGCGCATCAATTAGTGCTCCAAGTCGAACAAAAGCATTCAAGTCTACTTGTCCACATTCAAAACCCTAAAATAAAATGTTTATCAAGAAAAAAACCAGCCAACACTTCTATTCAGTAACAATTCTTTTCAACTGTATTATAGTCTACTTTTTTTTTTCAGAAACATGCTAAACATTTATGTATTATAATATAAGAAAATCTCTTTCAGCTTTTTCTCCTTTTCTAGGTTTTTTGATTTATCATTATATTCAGCGAAACTGAAGTCTCACGTTTATCTCAAAAATAGCAAATTGCTATGACTGTTTTAGACGATTATTAGCCTTAATCAGCATTTAATTAATGAGCATTTGTTTAAGTTTGTTTTTATAATTGGTAACTTTTTGATGAACCAGCAGCAACAACAAAAAAAAAGACACATTTGCTAAACCATCTAACACGTTTATTTTTTAAAGTCCAAAAAACTCTTGTTTGAATAATTAGTCTTTAGATTAGTGTGGCTACAAAAAGCTAATAGTAATACAAAGATTTATACACTTTCTATGCGTTCTGTGCAGTTTCAACAGTAGAAAATAACAGGTTTTTTTTGTTAAAAATAGAGAGAATTTGCAAGAAAATTTGTAGCTAAGGATAACCGTTTTGTCTGCATAAAAAAACAAAAAAAAAAGTATGAAACAATGACAAATTTTGTTTTATTAGTCTGAAAAGATTCAAAGTAAAAAAAACATCTGAAGAGAAAGAAAAGGAACGAAAACAAGACAGAAAAACGGCACATCAGATTAACCACTATTGTAGTTACAGTTTGCAGATTTACCAAACTAAATGATGCGTATCTAATAAGTTATACAGACACATTAAAATTTGTTTCATTTGTTTAATAAATTCCTAAAACAACAGTTTTACAGTTGTACCATTTTTTTTTTCTTCTAACGGACAAGTTCCTTTTTTTTGCAACAATTTTCAACTATTAGTCTATGTTAATCCAAAAACAAAGAAGCTAAATTCGGTTTTTTTCCTGTGTGGAGCAGTGCGAAATAAGACCTATGCTAAATTTGATGTTATTGTTTAGTACAGTTGTCATCTTTGACAGCAGCACTATTTATGACAAATTTTAACCAAAAAGAAAAGTAATAGTCAGCTTAAATGAAAAGAAAAAAATCGGCTTCTCAAAAAAAAGGTAAGATGTAAATAAACAAAAAACGAAAGCTGTTGAGAATCTGAAACAACTACCTCTAAGTGTCGTAAGTAATATCAGAGTTGCGTAGTGTACTACAAAAAAAAATATAAATTTCCTACTTCACTTCTAAAAATATGTAAAAAAATAAAACTATTACTGTGTAATATTTAAACAGATAATGTATATCCAAAAAAAA